CGGCTCCCGAGGACTTCGTACCCGCCGCCGCTATGCGCCTGCGGCCGGGCAGCGCTCCTCCCTGCTGGGGACCACCGGGATGTTCCCCACGTCGCAACACAGCGACCCTGCTTTCTGCGGCCCGCCCCCCACCCCCCCGGTGGGGATGCCCTCGCCCTCGTTGGGGCCCCTACCCTCTCCTGCGGCCCCCTTCCGACGGCCCGTTCCATGGCCCGGCCCTCGCCGGCGGCCCCGCCCTCCTCGGCCCCTGTGGTGCTTCCTCCCGGACGCGAGGATTGTGCCATGCTTGAATTCTGGGGGGGCTTGTGTAGTGATCACTTATTAATATACTGATTGACATAATTCACGCATGGAACTACAGGTTGGGGGTATTGTTTCCGCACGGACACAAATGTTGACGGTACCTACTGTGTACCTACTGTGTGTCCTCCCTTTCGCTTTCTCTTCTCTTCCCGGGCTGCGACCCGACAGCATGTCCATTTCTGTCGCTCATTAAAATACAGATTTGCACCTTCGATGCACCGCCTCCGACTCCCTTCTCTCTGCACTACAATAATAACATTAAATACAAATGAAAGCAATAGACAGGAATATATGCATATACAGTAGAAAGGACACGATGAATACTATAACATTTAATGTAGCCTTACTGTGAAGGCTGACCTAAATACGTTGCTTTTCTACAGATTACCTTACCACTGCACTGGTAAGGTAAAACTAGGCCGATTAATAAGATGTGAAGTGCTTTGCAACTTTGACCCGCTTGACTGAATACACAAAAAACAATGAAGAAAGTTGAACCAATAAACTAACACAAACTAACTGTATTTACGTTCCACTGTTCATTAAAAAAACAGTGCATTAAACAAACCATCATGCTCTTACTTTGAAAACCAATGCGGAAATGTCAATATCAGCAGGCCATCACGTGGTTTCCGAAAATAACCGAGTGACACGAGTAGATTTTAGCCGAGACCGGCGGAAAGTTTGTCTCAAAACTCGAGAGGGGTCAGTTCCGGTGCAGGCTCCACTCTCAGGACAGTTCCGGTGCAGGCTCCACTCTCAGGACACCTCCACTCTCAGTACAGGAAGTGACGATTCTGACGAACACGTTTTTTTCCCTGCCCCCCGAAGGACTCGTCTGATGGAAGTTTTCAAATCACAATGGAGACTCATCACGGAGGTGATGAGTCCGCTTACCATGCACTTTGGATCGGCCTTGGTCAAGCTCTTTTGACCCCCCCCAGCCTGGTTCTCGCAAAAGTTGACTTATACCCCTTTCACACCAACGCAACTCCGGTTCAAGCTCCGTGCTAGAGCTTTTCAGGTTCGGAACCGGTACTTCGGTTTAGCTCCGGCTCTTTTCACACCGCTCAGAGACCGACTGGTGCTGCCGCTGCTGCGTCATGACGTCACAGTTTACGTCGCTGATTTTCTCCCCAACGGAGCTCACCTCACAACAACAACGGGCCGGGGACTGCGTTGCTTTTAATCATACGAAGCCAGATTAAATTAAATAACGACTTCTCCAACCTTATACTTTTCTCCAGAGTGCCGTGGTTCATTGTTTATTAATGTGTTTCAGCGGCATTTACCGACCGCTGCAGTGCTGGCCGGCTGCTCTTCCACGAGTGTATTCTCCCGTTAGCTCCGGGTTAGCTCACACGGCTCTAAAGTATTCACTGTCTGACTGTCACACAAGCAGCTGATACATATCCCCAGTTCCCCTTAAGTGAATGTTTGTCAGTCTGAATTGACGCTGTTTGGTGTCAGTCTGAATTGACGCTGTTTGGCATCACAACGCTGTTATGAAAGTTTCTCTGGTATAACATGGGTGATGTTAGCATAGCAACCGAAGCTAAACTGACTACTTGCTAAGCCGTTTTATACAGGCACTTTTTACCGGCGTATTTTTCATTATGATTCTACTTGTGATAGTCGGACATGACAACCTGTGCAGCCCATGTATTGATTCCATCCGATAGCTGCTATAATAACAAACAAAACGTCTGCCTGCTCTCCACAATGATCAATAACAGCGAACGGATGGTCAAAGTAAGGTACAAATAAACAGAATCACACGAAGCCTGGTTAGTGTTGCCTGACTTTATAAAGCGTGTTTTTTTTTTACAAGTGTGTGGTTGCGTTCTAGTCACTTTGCTCAGCACTACTGCTGGTTACAACTTTTATTTGCCGTACTCGCCTTAACTGTTATCTCAGGTTAATCTCGCCCCCCTCCGACGTAAGCGGTTCTTGCTTCTACACGGACAACTTTTTGGTGCTCGAAACGAACCGGATTCCGGAGCTTAGAGGCTGCTCCGCTGCGGTGTGAACAGGAAAACCCGGTGCTTTTCAAGCACCAGCACCGAACCGGCCCCGAAACACCGTTGGTGTGAATGGGGTATTAGCCATTTTTCGCTCAAATGACACCATGGAGGAATGTAACGGGAGTTGACAGGGGAATCTGCCCGCCTCACGAGTGCCTATTTTCGGACACTTTTTTTCACTTTTCCCCCTATTTTCCCCGGTTCTATACATTTTTCTTTTTTTAGCTATTTCAAAAAAAGATTCCCCCCACGGCCTGTATTCAGCCGTTTCCCCCCCCCCCACTCATCCATATATTAACGGATTTTGACATTTTTTGTTGCATTTTTCACATCTCCTCTCACTGATCGAATGGCAAACGCGACCCACCATCGGAGGGCCTCCGCCGGCCCGGCCTAGTGCCGGTGCTCTGGCGGTCGGTTCCTCCGAACTGCGGGTTCGACTCTGATGGCCGGGAGGGTGTGTTGCGTTGGGGTGGGGGACTTCCCCCACTCTGCGTGTCTCTTCCTTCCCGGGCCGGCCGATATGAAGGGTGACCAAGACGCACCGTCTGACTCAGGGGTCCCGCAGCGGGGTGGAGGTTCCGGTCTGGAACCTCCCCACCTCCGCCGCGGTGCACCCGGCAAACACGGTTGTTTCTCGAACCCTCCACTGTTGTCTAGCGGGTGTAACTAAAATACAAGATGTCGTTATTTATATATATATATATATATATATATATATAAATATATATATATATATCTAGATATAATAAGTGTCAGTGCGATTTTATTTTGTATTAGCGTGCATTTCCTGTTCGGAAAGTGGCGCTGTACTGAAAGTAAACAATACAAGGTGTCCCTATTTATATATATATACATATGTATAAGTGTCAGTCATATACAGTCTATGGTGTCAGTACGATTTTATTTTGTATTTGCGTGCATTTCCTGTTTGGAAAGTGGCGCTGTACTGATAGTGGCGATTTTATTTTGTAATTCTTAGCGTGCACTTCCTGCCCTAAGAGTGGAGGTGTCCTCAGAGTGGAGGTGTCCTGAGACTGGCGCCTGCAGGCAGGCTCCCATGTAAAACTCTGTGTGTGTAAAAAGACGATCCACAAGCAGAGATTTGAGATCCACGAGCAGAGATTTGAGATCCACAAGCGCATTTTTGGTCGACAAATTAAAAAAAATTGATTCACAAATGCCTGATCGAAAGTTGTAAATGTTAAAGAGATATTCAAAGATCTTTTTTTTATTTGTAAAAATGTTTGGGGTATTTGCAGATCCGTTTTACAATTAGGGCGTTCACACCAAGTTATTTTCCCACAATAGTTCATCAGAACTCTTTTAGTTCTGATGAACTAAGTTCCTGGGGGAGGATTAGGCAAATGAAGCCGCTGACGTCACTTCTTCTTCTTCTGCTTTGGGTTTACTGGCAGGCCGCAAACCACTTCACGGCGGATACTGCCACCCGAAGTCCCCGGCCGGAAGTCCCCGGAGTTAGGGACTGGCTTCAGCTTCTACTGAAGCCTTCCGAGTAAATCGCCAGAACGCCGACACCTCCTCATCTCCACCGCTCCCATGTTTTATTTTGTGTTGCCATAAGTTAGTCTCTCTGCGTTTCTGCGCTGGGCTAATGCTAATGCTAATAATGCTAATGTGAGGATAATAAAATGGCGGCTTCACAAAACTTTTTGGGAGTTTTACGGGGCGTGGTTTGCATTCCGCCCAGCCAATCAGACATAGGAACCTTTTTCTCCCACGAAAGTCCCTGCTCTCTAGCAGGGACTGAAAATGGGGTAAAAATGGTTCTGATGAACTAATTTAGTTCAGGCTCTTTTTGGTGTGAACGCAAATATATCTGAGTTCTGATGAACAATTGTGGGAAAAGTACTCCGGTGTGAACGCGCCTATTGCAAATGTATTTGTGAGTTTGCAAATCTTTTAAATGCATTTGTGGATGGTGTTTTACATTTACAAATCACATATTACATTACATGTCACTTGTTAGATGCTTTTATCCAAAGCGATTTACATACTCAATACTGTGGGCAATCCCCACAGGAACAATTTGTGGATGGTGTTTTACATTTACAAATCACATATTACATTACATGTCACTTGTTAGATGCTTTTATCCAAAGCGACTTACATACTCAATACTGTGGGCAATCCCCACAGGAGCAATTTGGAGTGAAGTGTCTTGCCCAGGGACACAACGACATGCTGACTGCAGTGGGATTCGAACTTGCTATCCTCTGATTCGAAGATCAGCGCACTAATCCACTGAGCCACAGCCTCCCACATATTTACACACAAATTATTTTCATGTTCACACAAATAATTATGAGACATATCTAAGCCCATAATGGAGGCTGTTATATTTACACTAAATTAGCACACATCTCTCGCTTTAATAAATACATTTTGTATGCCTGTGTTATTAAATGTAAAACGTTGTACTGATTCCGTTTTTCTCGGGTTATTACGGTAGAACCCATGGATGAATAATAAGAACTAGATACAGCGTGGGAGGCGGGGTCTCGTGCATTCCTATGAGAGCTGCTCATTGGCGCATGAGGACAAAATGCATATAAATGCCTTTATATATATATCTATGAGTGCCCCGGCCTGCAGACCACGCCCCCTCAGGTCAGTGCCCCGGCCTGCAGACCACGCCCCCTCAGATCAGTGCCTATCCATCAGGAGAACAGAGGTGTCTCCTCTCCTGCGCATGCTCCTGTTGCTGTGACTCTCTAACTAAAGACACATCTGACAGGTGAGTGGGAAATCATTTCCAAAAATGTTTTTGCATTGTCGTGTAATACAGTGGATATTATCACGCTTCCAAGAGTTTCCCCAGCCAGTGGCTAGCAGGTTGAAAGATAGACTGCTGGCTAAGTTACGTTAGCTAGCTGACATAAATTAAGCTAACTGTTATAACCTAAACTCTATATTTACCGTTTTTCACGTTGCGCTTCGTAATTCAACTTCCTTATATGGGAAAATAACGCTACACGCTAGGTTGTTTTGAGACGACTCTTCATAACCATTCAAAAATACAGTCCTTTTAATCTACGTGTTCAACGTTATCCTGCGAAATAACGAAGGTATCTAATTTTACCGTATGAGTACATTATATATGTATTCCCCTTTGCCATTCTCAAGTTTGAAATCAATATGACCAGACCTGCATTACTTTCTTCATTAGAATGTCAAGCTGACGGCACCGCCCACCAGTGCATTCTAGTTGGGGCCGACTGTATGAAGTGTCAAATGAACCAGTACTAAATTATGTTTCCTTATTGAAATAAAGAGCCTTTGGTTAATTTTACATATGCCGAATTGTTAAGTGGTTAGTAACAGTATCACTAAGGCTTTGCAATATGTTATGTGAGGAATAAGGGTGTGTTAGTAAACGGTGTAACATTAAATGGCCTGTTTTTTTAACGGAGTTTGGAAGCCAGCCACAGACGGGACATTAGCTTGGCAGGGTCCTGCATCACCAGGCGATTCATTTGTCTAGCGTTATCTTGACATCTCTCGGGTTGTCACTATGTGTCGGTATGAACTCGGTGTGCCAAGAAAGCTGAACGGTGTTTTAAAAATAGATAGTATGACATTAACGCCTGGATTCCTGACCTTGTCCTGTTTGGAATAAGGCACTGCGCAGGCTCAGAGTAACTGGATGCATTGACATGCTCCCTCCAATTATAACACACGTGAACCAAAGATCTGACAGCATCATCTGGTCCTGTGTGCCAGTGTCGACTACTGTAATGCTACTGAGCTATTGTTCAAGTACTGTCCAGGGCCTCTAGTATCCAAAGTTTATTTGTGTCTGTCTTTTTGTCCATGTAGTTTTGCCTGAATGAAATCAGATAAAAACAGTATGTCTGTGGAGTCGGATTCTAATCATTTGAGTGTCTGAACATATGCCTGTTTATGATTCAGATCATTGTCCCATTCTCTAAAAGCACATTGAGTAACTAATTTATGTTACAGTAATCTGAAAATTCAACTGTAGTCCTTGAACACCAGATTGCACAATGTAAACACTTTGTTATTCTGACTGCATGCTGGAGGAAACAATACTAACAAATACTCCTGCTACAAAAGTAAAGAGTACAGACATATCAGAGACATGTATACTATGGACAGGAAATGGTATTGGCTATATTTACATTTGTATAACATTTGTTATCGAAAGTGCACCAAAATGACAGACACTGCCATGCAAACCTGCTCATCATCTACTCTAATGCTTATTCACACAATGGATGTATTATGTTTTTCAAATATAAAACCTCCACAGATCAGAAAAATCCGTTGCAATCTTGGCCATTTTTGTGAAATTGTGCCTGTTAAATATTCATTTACAAAGGTGTTTACTTAACTTCCTGTGCTGTGTTGCAACAGTTTGCACAATGCATGTCTCAATCAAGTCATTGCCTAAACTACCTTTCTTATCCTTTAACCCTTCTTTTCTTCTTGCCATGTGAGTCATATTTGGCAAATATGCAAAAATTCAATTCATGTCAGTCATGTATTTGCTTTATTTTGACTCGCAATATTTCCCCTTTGATTTGTGAAGTCAGCTGCTTTGTCACAGATGCTTGTGCCCCTTTGGAGCTCCTGTTGTTTAAAGAAACGGCACCTTTATCACATTTCAGATTGAACTGTGATAGCTGTCAAAAGCAGAAATTCAACCTGCAGTGCGTACCAGTGTGACACACTTAGCTGACTACCTACAAAGACCATAGCATGTCATGTAGGTATCAATGACGTGCAGCAACTTATTAGCTAAGGTGCAGTTGTGTGTGGATTTGATGCAGTCATGATATCAATGGTGAGATGTTACATAATTTTGAGGCCATGATAGCAAGCATGGGTGTTTTATTTGTAAGGGCTAGATAGATAGATATATCCTTAATTAATCCCAAATTGGGAAATCCTTTCGTCACAGCAGCATTTTGACAGTCAATGTACAAGAAATACAAAATCTCTTAAAAATACAATACAAAAGAAACATTACAAAATAAAAATTCAAAGCAATAAATACATATTCTCAGAAGAAAATACATATTTATTCAGAAGAGTATTTACACACTTTAGAATACAGAATACTTTAGAATACTCTCTAAACTACCAATCTACTAAAGGGACAGAAACACTTAAGCACAGTGTACTAAATGCATACAAATATTGTGTACGGTAGCTTTTAATACAGTGTGAGGTAGTGTAATGGCGCAGTTCCACTGCAGCGCGGAGCTCGCTTTAAGCGTGCCGTGTCGTGCCGTCCCCTTTTTTGGTTGTGCTTCCACTAGGCCAATTACCGGCGCGGCACGGCGCGGGGCCACTTTTTCACCTCTTTTCTGGCCCTAGAAAATTGTGGTTCTATCGGGGCCAACAAACAGGGCTGAGTCGGGCTGAGTATGCTAAACTAGAGAGAGGAGCGCTGGCAAGAGGGCTAGAACTACAACAAGATGGACATATTTGACCGTGATTTAATTGTAATACACGTTTCAAAATGATGCCGAAGTAACAACATACTGATACCGGTTAGTAAAAACCATGAATTAATGCTTTGTCAAGTCTGCAGACAGACGGCAGGCGAAAAACCTTTTAAAATTCGTGTTTTTCTAGATGGAGATTGGCTAAGCTAACGCAGTATATGCCCCGACCGTCCACACTCACAACAACGGCCTATACAGACATAAATAAAGCAGCGACTGTATTCACCATGACACAGGCAGTCTGTGGTTTGTACTTGTTTAACTTTTGTCGAGTTTCTGAACAGATATGAGGAGCTGTGAGCTCTGAGTGCTAACAGCTAACGGCTGTGTTGTGTTTCTGGATTTCTCATTGAAGATGACGTCACGGCTCCGCCTACACTGCGTTACTATAGTAACTACCCCAGTTCCTAAACTGTAATGGAAGCGCAGCATGAAGTGAGTCGGCCCTGTTAAGGCCCAACGCGGCCAAGCCGTACCGAGCTGTACCGAGTGTGGCCGAGGCCGACCGTGTAGTGGAAATGCGCCATAAGTGGGCTTCAATATGTAAGTACAGTATGTGCACCTCGATCAGTCAAACTCAGTTTGCCGATTGGCTGACGCAGAGCGAAGTACACATGCTGGAGTGTATGGTTTAATCATGTCCTGGATGTAGGAAGGGCCGAATTCATCCCAGCACAGCAGGCCAGTACCAGTGTCCTGAAGCTGATTCGGTTAAGGGAGCAGACTTAGACCTAACTTAGACCTCAGCAGGGTGAAGACGAGCTGCTGCATTCTGGGTGACCTGCAGAGGTCGGATGGCACTACAAAATAGACCAGCCAGGAGAGAGAACAGTAGTTAAGGTGTCAGATAACAAGAGCCTGGAGCAGGACCTCCTTCACCTTCTGGGTCAGCAGGGGACGTCTCTTCCTGTTGAGTGATCTGCAGGAGCGGTTTATATTAGTGATGTTGGCAGAGAAGGACAGTTGGTTGTCCAGTGCAGAATCCTTAAAGGTACCCTATCATGCAATAACCCTATCATTATAAATAAATATTTCCCCGGCGTGTAGGGCTGCTCGATTATGGCAAAAATCGTAATCATGATTATTTTTGGTTAATATTGATATCACGATTATTAAATACGATTATTCATTGACTTTGAAAACATCCATTTATTGAACTTTTAAAAAATAAATAATAATAATTTGAACAGTATGTTTTTAACAGTTAATTACCCTGCACTTTAAGTATAATTCAACTGAAAAACCAATAAAAAATAAAAAAGTATACATTTATATCTACATTTTAAATAAATAATATGAAAGTAATAAATACCAATAAAGATCAACAAATATTTTGGAGCGCACTTCCACAACCTACTAAACATATATAAATATTATAACTAATGTCACTCATAACTAGGGATGCCAGAAACTGACCATGATCAAATTCGAAAATCGGACAGCCCTGGCGAATATTAATCGATTATTCGCCGTAACGTGTTTATATGGATTTATTAAACAGACTGCAAGTCAAACCTTTATATATACAGTCTATAGCCGCGTTCACACCGCAGTACTTTTCCCACTTTAGTTCCGATATAGTTCCGAAATGTTGCGTTCACACCAAAACGAGCCGGAACTAAAATTAGTTCATCAGAACCTTTTTACCCCCTTTTCCGTCCCTGCTAGAGAGCAGGTACTTTCGTGGGAGAAAAAGGTTCCTATGTCTGATTGGCTGGGCGGAATGCAAACCACGCCCCGTAAAACTCCCAAAATATTTTGTGAAGCTGCCATTTTATTAACCTTGCATTAGCATTATTAGCATTAGCATTAGCCCCGCGCACAAACGCAGAGAGACTAAGTTATGGCAACACAAAATAAAACATGGGAGCGGTGGAGATGAGGAGGTGTCGGCGTTCTGGCGATTTACTCGGAAGGCTTCAGTAGAAGCCAGTCCCCAACTCGAGTGAGTGAGTGAGTGAGTGAGTGAGTGAGTGAGTGAGTGAGTGTAGGCCGATTATTAGTAATCAAGGAGACCGATAACCGATATTTGGAACCGATATACATTTGCAGTAAAATCAGAAAATCTTGGTGTCAAAATGTAGAATAACACAAACTCCAACACAATTTCTTTGAAATGCATTTAAGCATATATTATGTTTAATGAACTTTTAAACATCTTACAACTGGTTTCCTCTCTGTGCCCTTTTCTTTAGTGCAGCCATCTGCAATGAGTTAGAGAGAGACAGAGAGTTCAAAGTGGGGCTGCAGGCTGACATGCTTA